CAATAATCAATATATAGCTTATTTGTGGCATGACTATAAAAATTCTTTACTTGTCGGAACCTGTAATATCTGGAATAATTGTGCTTACGCTGTCTTGAGTTTTAACCATGCCCAGTAGCTTCAATAAATGCCTGACGCCAGATTGTGCAAATTGGGCAAGGATACAAACGAGTACAAAGTCTGCAAGTATGAAGTTTTTCTTCATAAACCTGATTATTAAAGCCAAATGAATTGCCGAATTATCGAGCTCTAAGCTTGATGCCGCTATTAAAGCAGCCAAGGTAGACAAATCAAGAATACTAGAGAGCGAAAGAAGTACTACAATCTCGAAAACGAACTCGAAATCTTCCAGGCTACAGGTGAAAAAACACATAATATCTGTCTTCTCTTAAATGCATTAAACACTATTCCAATCACATCAATTGAATCGGAAAGGGCATTCTCGGTGGCAAGACTTTTCATTACTAAAATAAGAATTAGAGTGAGTGATCGGAGTATTGATCATCTTTGCTTTTTAAAATCTTATAAAAGTTTACAATATTTTGTATTATATTTTATTTAAAAAACGAAAATTACCTTCTAAGTTATAAGTTTGATCTAAGTTCAATTTTTAATTTTTAACTCAATTCAAAGCATTTTTGTTGTTGTATGCAGTTTCTAGCAAACTTTAATAAATTTTTTTCTATTTGTGAAAATTTCTACGTAATTCAAAGGTAATTTTCATTATATATCTTACACAGCATTATTAATATGATTTTGGATGATACAGAACTTTAAAATTACTTTAAAAAATGAAAAATAATTATATAATTTAATTTCAAGATATTTTGTATACCTTAAAAATTATTGATTCTATCCCGGGATCCCGGGAAACAGTTCACTTTTATCCCGGAATCCCGGGACAAGCAAAAGACCGGGAAATGAGAAACCCTAATACAAACCTGTGCAGCAACTTATATATTATAAATAAGTGAAGAATGAAAATTTTTTCCCATTTTACTTAAACATATACATAATCATTCTAACACCTAAGGATGGCATTGAGTCATCTTTCTTTACAAAAATCTCCATACATTTTCTATTGGAGAGAGATCAAGGCCTTTGATGCTGTCCAGGGGATATATATATATATACTGTATATATAATTAGACTGCAGCCAGGCTTTGGCTTTCCTAGCATTGTGCACAGATATTGATTTTCTGGAAAATACAAGCTTGTCTTTGGAAAAGTTTAAATTTTGATTTGCATAGATGTTGCTGAAGGATTAGAATATAGGCTCCACAGTTCACAACACCATTGCAGAAATGCAAATCTCTAACTTCACTCTGCAATCATGCATCTTGAATAATATACTGGATTATTATCTTCACCTTTAGTACAAATCTTTAACTTTCTTGCCTATATTCCCACAGATGAATGAAATTCATCCAACCATAGTATTTTCTTCTGATCAACATTTGTCCATTTCAGACGAGCTTGGGCCCAAGTTAAATAAATATCTGTACTTGCATGATTTGTTTATGAGAGGTTTTCTCTTCGATTTGTACAACCTGTATTTGCATCATTAAATACATTTTGCACTGTGCATTTAGATAATGAGATTATAAAGCATTTCCTTGCCCACTTTGTAAAATTTTCTATAGAAACTTGCTTGTTTTGGGAAATGTAGTATTGAAAGGAACATAGTTGTCTGGACAGAGAGGTAGTTTTCCTAAAGCTTTATCTGGATGAGTGTTTCTCCTTTCTTGAAAACATTTTATGATTTACTGAACTGTAGACAGATATCTGCACATCCCATATGATACTTCATTTAAACTTTTTTATACTTCTGGATAATAATTTTTGTGATTGGTTCTGGTATTGCCTTATCTCTTGTCATTTTTTACAGACATTAATATGAAGAATTAAAAATGACCTGCTTTTCATATGCAAGACTTGTGATATAAGAAAAACAAGAAATTCCAGAAAATTCCCCAAAAGTCCTTTCTAAATGAACTTCATTGCAATGCTAAATTAATATGCCTCAATGTCCTTGTTTATTATAATATAAATTTTCCATCTACTAGTACGTATTTTCTATTATTACAGGTATATTAAATAAAACAAATTTCTGATCTGTGAAACTTTGTTGCAATATCTGTATATCCAGTCTAATAAGTCCTGATAATAGAAAATATGTACTAGTAGATTGCAATAAATTATAATATAAATTTTCCATGTGTTGCTAAGCAGTTGCTAGATTACATGGCTATATATTTAAAACTAATGAAATCCAACATAGTGAGTTTTTGGAATGAACCTGTTTATTCACAAAAGGAATTATTTATAGCACTTGGTTTAATACAGCAGACCTCCCTATAACACTATTGATAATTCCATGTTATATGAATTCCATGTTGTACAAGTCACTTAGATTTTACAAAATAGTGAGCCGATCACAGCCCGGCACACGTATTTGTAAAATCTAAGTGACATGTACAGCATGGAATTCATATAACACAGAATTATCAACAGTGTTATAAGGGTCTACTGTAGGTACACAAGAATTTTTAAGTTTATGTAAATTTCTGAAAATTTAAATGATGAACAAAGTTCATTGTAAGCAGGGTTGCAATTGTATTCATGTTTGAATTGAATAGGCCTATAACAATTTTAGGAAAATAAAAATAAACAAATGAAAAATAATGTATCAGTTTATTATATGAAAATATCACTTAAGAACTCGAATTAACCAAAAACTTAATTTTTTCAGAAAATAATGAATTTTGGATGGTAACTTTTAATTCATTATTAAATATAAAAATTAATGATCAAACAGCAGCTAAATCATTTTATTCATAAATTTAAGAATTAAAAATAAAATTATACATTTACATTTTTTGTGTAATATTTTTTTATATTGCATAGGATTGTATGTAAAAAATAACAAATATTTTATGTTTACAATTTTTGTTACAAATGTTACAGAAAATAAATATTTTGTTCAATGTAAGATTACATAAAATAAAGATGGCTGTCAAACAGTTGAAAACATTTGTTCTTATAATAAATTTGTTCATTTTAACTGAATTACAGGTGTTAATGCTTTTATTGTAATCTCATCCAGTTTTGCAGTATCTATTAAGCAATATTTTTTTCTATAAATTAATATTTGTAATATAGAAGTTTTTAAAAATAAAGTAAAATATATAATGAAAACATATTTAATTTAAGGACGCCAAAAAATTTACGAATTCTTATTATTTTTACTGTCGTTAACTATAACTAACCTAAACTAAAGCACGGAATTAGGAAATTATATTCCATTTCAAACTAACAAAATACAATTTTTGTTAATCAAGTTTAAAATACATTACTATAAATGAAATCATAACTAAAATTTTAAATTATATAATTTACCAATACCTTTAAACAAAAAAGTGGGTTCCTTCATCTCCAAACAGCTTTTAATTGTATTTAATGTACATTTATTATAAGAATAATACATTCATTCTCCAAAAAATGCTTGTATAACATTAAACTAATTTAAACATACAGTATTGAAATAAATTTAGAAACATCAATACAACTAAAAACAAAATTAACATCATCTTTATACTTGGAATTATTGACAGAGCATTGATATTCAATCAAAAAATAAAAATAAAGAAAATAATTTTTGTCTAATGTTTCTGAATTTACATTACCATATTAATTACCACCAATTTTCATTGTGAATAGTTTAGAAAGATTCTAAAAGTAATAAAAAACAGTATACATTATTTAAGATAAAATAGAATATTATAAAGATATAAACACTGAACATTTTATGTTATTTATCTTATTTCATACAAAAAAAAAAAACCCTTTAAATTACATATTAATTAGGTATATGAATATAAAACATTGTCGAATGATTGAACTGATGTAACTTAATCAAATTTAGCAATGTTTCCGTTGAAATAATATATTAACATTTTATCAAACCCATTACAGTACATGAAAACTCATCATGATGTTCAAATTTGCATTGTCATCAGCTATGTCCGAACGAAGGAAAAATAAGCGATCGCCACTAAATAACTATAAATATAGCACTTGACATCTGTCATATTTACATTATAGAACAATTAAATCATATAAATAATTAAAAAATGATATTATTCTTACCAAACGATTGTACTTTCTAAACCCATTTTCAACACAGAACACCATCCGCCATTAAACTAAACACGCTTTATGATAGGAGTGAGTAAGACGTGAAATTCAGTTTTCCTATAAGGAATTATTTAATTATATTTGATATAAATTAATATTATATTAATTTATAAAAGTAAAAATTAAAATAAAATAAAATTGTTACTTATTAATTTTTTTTTCGATTATATATTATAAATCGTGTAAATAAATTATATATTAGTTTCATACATTTTAAATAATAATCATCGATTTATATCAGTCATTTTGATATTATTTTAGCTAAAAATATTTATAAAAATGAAAATTACTATTTAAAGAAATATGAATGTTTATCTTTTTACTTTTTTTGGCCTAACTTTTTAATCGTATTTTTTTTTTACTCTTTCCGCCCTGTGGGCACTAAGAGGACCTCTTATAGCAGGCCCATTATGGGTTCGGCCAGGCCCACAATTGGGCGACTGGGTTGTGAGGGACGGGACCCCCGCTGAAAAATTACTGGGGATTCTTTGACCCGTCCGGATTCGATCCCGGGTCCCCCAGAGCGGGGATCCTTGACCGCTCGGCATTTAATCGTATTCATTATGGGTTCGGCTAAACCAACAATAAGAAAGCTAAGCGGTAAGGAACGGGATGACATATATATATTTTTTAAATTCTTTTCGCCCTGTAAGCATTAAGAGGGCCTCCATTAGCAAACCAATTATATGTTTGGCCAGGCCCGCAATAGGACGAGCGGGTGATGAGGAACGGGGCTCGACATNATATTTACATTATAGAACAATTAAATCATATAAATAATTAAAAAATGATATTATTCTTACCAAACGATTGTACTTTCTAAACCCATTTTCAACACAGAACACCATCCGCCATTAAACTAAACACGCTTTATGATAGGAGTGAGTAAGACGTGAAATTCAGTTTTCCTATAAGGAATTATTTAATTATATTTGATATAAATTAATATTATATTAATTTATAAAAGTAAAAATTAAAATAAAATAAAATTGTTACTTATTAATTTTTTTTTCGATTATATATTATAAATCGTGTAAATAAATTATATATTAGTTTCATACATTTTAAATAATAATCATCGATTTATATCAGTCATTTTGATATTATTTTAGCTAAAAATATTTATAAAAATGAAAATTACTATTTAAAGAAATATGAATGTTTATCTTTTTACTTTTTTTGGCCTAACTTTTTAATCGTATTTTTTTTTTAACTCTTTCCGCCCTGTGGGCACTAAGAGGACCTCTTATAGCAGGCCCATTATGGGTTCGGCCAGGCCCACAATTGGGCGACTGGGTTGTGAGGGACGGGACCCCCGCTGAAAAATTACTGGGGATTCTTTGACCCGTCCGGATTCGATCCCGGGTCCCCCAGAGCGGTGACCCTTGACCGCTCGGCCTTTAATCGTATTCATTATGAGTTCGGCTAAACCCACAATAAGGAAGCTAAGCGGTAAGGAACGGGATGACATATATATTTTTTTTTTTTTTTAAATTCTTTTTGCCCTGTAAGCATTAAGAGGGCCTCCATTAGCAAACCAATTATATGTTTGGCCAGGCCCGCAATAGGACGAGCGGGTGATGAGGGACGGGGTCGACATATCCGCACAAACCACCCCCGAAAATTCCTGGGGATTTTTCGATCAATCCGGATTCGATACCAGGTACCCCAAAGCGGGTGACATATCAAAATAAACCATGTCCCGAAAATTTCTCGGTGTGATTTTCAACCACCCAAAAATTTTCGGGGCGGATACCCCAGAGCGGTCCGCTGACACTTTAACTACATCAGCAAAAATTTGAATGGCTGCATGAATCCTCAGTGTTATGTATGTAGAACGCACCTGGCAACAACCTAAATCGAATTGCCCCACGACCTAATCATCGACCCCGTGCTTTTGAACCTCTGTCGTTCTCTTTGTCTTCAGTCTTAATCGCGCGCTAGCTGTGACTAGGTTCGGATATGTACTGTACAGTACAGTACTCGTGATGAGACGCGTAGCTACCGTAAAGCAGTTAAAGCAAAGTGCACCAGGCGCACAAATTACGAGAAAGCCAAGTTAGAAAAGTCAATTTAAAAAACATTGGTTAAAAAATGTTTAAATTTATCACCGCTCTCGCGCAAGAAAAAAAAATAAATGCAAAAAAGTAAGGCAAAAAAAAATACTGAAAAGTAATTCTACAGCGGTCCCATCCGAAATATACATCGGGTCTTCGTCAGATCCAGAAAAGAATTTAAGCAATCCGATATTGGCTATTATTGCAATGACGTCATAGCCGATATGGCCAAGATGGAAAAATACGCTATTGTAGCATTTAGTTGGCATGCCTATGTGTCAATGGATAAAAATACATATATACGAATTTTCAGTTTACGCTGCTATATAAAAAACTTTATATAAGATTTTACAGTCGACCCCCCTATAACATGGTAGATACGTTCCGGTTTTTATAAATCCATTTTCTACGAGTCCAGCCAATCACAGCCCGGCACGTATGCAGTTTACGGACTACGGCTGTTTGAAAGGTTTCTTCCATAAAATTAATCGATTCTAGACTAATTCGACTCAACATTTCCAAAATACGTATAATTTTTTGGGAATAATCCATATAAACTATGCTATAAACAAAAAATTGTAGGATTACTTACNCCTCTGTCGTTCTCTTTGTCTTCAGTCTTAATCGCGCGCTAGCTGTGACTATGTTCGGATATGTACAGTACAGTACTCGTGATGAGACACTTAGCTACCGTAAAGCAGTTAAAGCAAAGTGCACCAGGCGCACAAATTACGAGAAAGCCAAGTTAGAAAAGTCAATTTTAAAAACATTGGTTAAAAAATGTTTAAATTTATCACCGCTCTCGCGCAAGAAAAAAAATCAATGCAAAAAAGTAAGGCAAAAAAAAAAATTACAGAAAAGTAATTCTACAGCGGTCCCATCCGAAATATACATCGGGTTTTCGTCAGATCCAGAAAAGAATTTAAGCAATCCGATATTGGCTATTATTGCAATGACGTCATAGCCGATACGGCCAAGATGAAAAAAAAACGCTATTGTAGCATTTAGTTGGCATGCCTATGTGACAATGGACAAAAATACATATATACGAATTTTCAGTCTACGCTGCTATATAAAAAACTTTATATAAGATTTTACAGTCGACCCCCCTATAACATGGTAGATACGTTCCGGATTTTATGAATCTATTTTCTACGAGTCCAGCCAATCACAGCCCGGCACGTATGCAGTTTACGGACTACGGCTGTTTGAAAGGTTTCTTCCATAAAATTAATCGATTCTAGACTAATTCGACTCAACATTTCCAAAATACGTATAATTTTTTGGGAATAATCCATATAAACTATGCTATAAACAAAAAATTGTAGGATTACTTACTGAGCGTGCACAGCTCGACCGCGCCATTGCTTAAGCTTGTTTCGTCGTAAAGCTTGTCATCGCATGGAGCTTGCGTGCTTCCTGATAAATTATTATTTTTTTTTTTTTTTGCGAAAACTTTGCTGTACTTTGGAGACATCGTCAATATAAATATAATTTTTATAAACATTAAATAATAAATAGTTCTTACTTTCATATTTCGAATATGAAAATAAATGGATAAAACTATTATGGATGAATGGATAAATTAAAACTAAATGGATAAATGGAAAAACTATTTTATATACTTTTTACTTTCATATTTCATATATATAATTTCATATATAAAATTTCGTATAGTTTTTAGTAAGTCCGTAGCTCGTTTAAACTAAACCGTTTATACAATATCAGCTATTGGTCTAGATTCGACCATTCCTGTTGCGACACGAGTCGGTGATGACGTTTCACCGAATCATAGGAGTTTTCTTTAGCATGTTTGTACGAACACTGTCACAATTTTTTCGTAGTGATATAGGAATCCGAACTATAGAAACCCGTGTTATAGGAGGGTTGACTGTACTACTTAGATGTAACGGGTAGCGTAAGATTTGAAAGAAATAGTGAAAGAATGAAGTCGACACTAATAATAATATTTGCATAATTTGGCCACGAAAATGAAAAAATAAATAAATATATTTGTGTAAAATAGAAGAATCAATTTAGTCTTTTTATTGTTGTTAAGCAATTGTTATCATTGTTACGATATACATTGTCGTTTGCATTGTTGCGATGTTTACAATAAAAATGGGGATTTTAGGGGGTTGGAAAGGGGTTACATTGTTGTCGACCAAAAAAATTGGTTGACAACTGCAAGAAGCGTGTATATGTGTAAAAAAAATGGAAACGTCGGACTAGAACACAGTCGGGTACATCGTTTGTGTTTGTGTTATTTCTATTTTTGGTTTATTTGTGGTCGAAGGGGTTCTTCCAACGGGACGTCCCAGTGGGCCCCAGGGCCGTCGATAAGGCGAAAATCCCAAAGGGGCCCGTAGGGCGGCTCAAGAACGGGATATGACCCGGAGAGCGGCCCTGCTACCAAAGGGGCCTGCAGGGCGGAACCGGAATCCGTATCTTAAATCCGGATGTAATCGACCAACTGCGGGTTCAGCGCAGGGCGCCGGATCCGCCCAACGAGCAGGCAGTTGTCCCGGGAAACCCTCCCTCGCCGAGCAAAGTGGCTCGCGTGTCCTGTTGCATTATAGATTTAAGCAACAAGCATAAACTTTTCCATTGTTGACGTTCGGCTTTTATTAAAAATTCTGCACGTTTAGGCTGGTGTTTTACAGCTCTAAACCATTTATTTACGAAGCAGCTTTTCAAATTTTAAAACTTTTCTTTCAAGTCCGTCTGGAACGTTTTACTTCTACGAATTTTTTTAAAAGTGTACCGTTTCGTCTATAAATCGTCTTTGATTTCCTTCCGAAATTACATTTCGTCTTTATCTCCCCATCCAGTAACGAATGTCGACAATCAAATTTAAAACTCGTTTTCAAACCGAGTTTTCAATCCACAATTTTATTATTTCAACAAAATTTCTTGTATTCTTGAACACTGGAACACTTCTTCTTTGCCCTTCTTTCACTTATCGTATTTGCATGTCGACGAAATGTGCGGTGTCATCGGGCTGCGATTTGCAAACATTGTAAACCTATAAATCCCCACTGTTGCCGTCTGTCTTCCATTAATCTCGAGAAAGGTCTTAGACAGACGAGAGACGAGATCAAATATGAAAACCCCAGGAGAACGAGGCCCCGATTAAGTATACAGGAATTGCGATGCAAACCGGAAGTCACGTTATTTCAGTACAAAATTTTTCCCCGAAAGGAGTTAGATAGGTGACCGGCACGACTCTATTGTTGAAGGAAAAGTACGATGTACAGGGACAAGCCACTGCTAATTTCACGTGTTTTAAAGTTAGATTCAAAACTCATAAAGCCGGGGGAAAATGTAAGCCGCCGTTAGTAGATTTTTGCAATTCTTTTTTTGTATAACTTAAAAGAATATCTTGAAAAATAAAAATAAATTACAAGGTAGCCCGTACTCGGATTACAGAATAACACGGCAGACCAGTTAATTAATTAACAGAACATTAATTGCGCAGAGAACACCGGTGGTCCGTTCGAGGTTAAATTAAAAAATATCCAATCACCTTGCTTTATACATTGTAGTAAAAATAATTATACAATTAATATTTCTATAACGTGATGTATATCTACGGAAATTTACAGAACATATAGCGCTTAAAAATAATGATACTTAATTAATTTGAATAGCGGAATGTTAATAGATGATATATGGAAGCACGTCATGCATAAAAATAAAAGAACAATGTTACGCGACCGCCATTGATGTTGGAGATTGTAGCTTGGTAAGTTATTTTAATATTTTACGTCTTTGTTAAAACAAAAATTATTAACTGTATGCTACAAAACAATTTTATCGTTTA